GGGGACGCCGGTGGGCATGGGAGGGTCAACAATGGGCATGAGGGACATGGCGGGTGGTGGCATTGTCCACTTGGGTGAGCATGGGGCATGGGGCCCACTATGGGCATGGCCACCATGATCTGGTAGGGTTGGCATGGGGACTGAAGGACCCTGGAGGGACTGGGTGGCCAGGGTCACCTGGAGGGACCTCACTGCACCCAATGATCAGGGGGGTCTTTCTGGGTGCCAGGTTCTCCTTTGGGTGCATGTGGGGTCCCACCACATTCCAGGGGTCCTACAGCCCCTTGGGGACCTTCTCATTTGGTGCAGGGAGGGGACAGTGACAATCCCTGGGGTTTTGGGTGTCCTGTGGCCACCCCCAAGCCCCAAATCACCTGGGGACAAAGAGGGCCATGGGCATGGGAGGATCCATGGGACCCTGTAGGATCCAGGTGGCACCATGAGCATGGGAGGATCCATGGGACCTGGTAGGGCTGGTGTAGGGTCCGGATGGCCCCATGAGCATGGGAGGATCCATGGGACCTGGTAGGGCTGATGTGGGGCCCGGATGTCCCCATGGGCATGGGAGGATCCATGGGACCTGGTAGAGCTGGTGTAGGGTCCAAACGCCCCCATGGGCATGGGAGAATCCATGGGACCTAGTAGGGCTGGTGTAGGGTCCAGATGTCCCCATGCGCATGGAAGGATCCGTGGGACCTGGTAGGGCTGGTGTAGGGCCCAGATGGCCCCATGGGCATGGGAGGATCCATGGGACCTGGAAGGGCTGGTGTAGGGTCCAGATGGCCCCATGGACATGGGGTCACCATGGAACCTTGCCATGGGGTGGGCCTGGGCCAGGAGCACCCTGTGGTGGCTAACAGCTGCCCATGGCCATGTGCCCACCCATGCAGGAACATCGGGAAGGGTGAGAGCCTCATGGGGGAGCCCTCGGAGGACTGGCTGGGCAGCGAGTGCCCCGAGGCCAAGCGGCTCAAGGTACCTCACGCTGGGGTGGGACGGGTGCGACTGGGGCCTTTGGTGGCACCGTGGGCGAGGGGGGGACACCATGGGGCCAGGTGGTGTGGACATGGGGTGTGGTGGCCACCAAGAGTGTGGTGGGCGTCATAGAACTGGTCGGGTTGGTGTGGGGTCAGGTGTAGTAGCTTGGGTACAGGAGGCACTGCGGGACCAGATGTAGGGTGGGCATGGGGCATGGTGGACACCATTGGTCATGGTGGGTACTATGGGTTGTGGTGGACTCCATAGGTCATGGTGGACTCCATGAGTCATAGTGGGCATCATGGGTGGCCACCATGGGTCACTGTCGGTAACATGGGTCATAGTGGCACCATTGGTCACAGTGGGTACTATGGGATGTGATAGACTCCATAGGTCATGGTGGACTCCATGGGTCATAGTGGGCAGCATGGGTCATGGTGGATACCATAGGTCATAGCGGCCACCATTGGTCATGGTGGGTACCATGGATCGTGGTAGACTCCATGGGTCATAGTGGGCACCATGGGTCACGGTGGATATCATGGGATGTGGTAGACTCCACGGGTCATGGTGGACACTATGGGTCATAGTGGCCACCATTGGTCACGGTGGGTACCATGGGTCATGATAGACTCCATGGGTCATGGTGGACTCCATTGGTCACGGTGGGTACCATGGGTCGTGATAGACTCCATGGGTCATGGTGGACTCCATGGGTCACGGTGAGCACCATTGGTCACAGTGGGCACCATGGGTCATGGTAGACTCCATGGGCCATGGTGGGCACCATGAGTCCCAGTGCATATCATGGGTCGTGGTGGGCATGGTGCACGGTGGCACCATGAGAAGATTGGCCAGGGCATCGGGGCAGGGAGTGGGGCACATACAGGAGGTTCCCAAGAGTGGGCACCCTTGGGTGCGCAGGTGGAAGAGCCGGGCACCGAGCATGAGGACCCCGTGGACTGTCGCCAGTGGACCCAGCATCACCTGGTGGCAGCCGACATCCGCATGCCACCCACCATGGCCCTCACGCCGCCCCAGGGCGAGTTCGACTCCGACTGCATGGACGTCAACGTCCGCGGGCCGGGTAGGAGGGCACGTGGGGCACGTGGGCATGGGGGGAACAGGGACATGGGGCATGGAGGAACATTGGCTGAGGGCTGGGATGGGCCAGGTAGGATGAGCGTGGAGGACACCAGGGGCATGGGGGCCACCAAGGACGTGGTAGGAAGGGCATGGGGGATCCCCCACTGTGGGACCTGCTGTGGGGCATGGGGGTACTGGGAGGTTGGGGTGCACCATGGGGTCAGATAAGGTGGACATGGGACATGGGGGGCACCATGGGACCTGGTAGGGGCTGTTGTGGGGTGTGGGGGTACTGGGAGGTTGGCCGTGGAACCACATAGCGTGGATGTGGGGCAAGAGGGGCATCATGGGCATGGGGGGCATCACAGCAGCTGGTGGAGGGGGTTGGTAGAGGGGGACATGGAGGAGCACCCTGGGGCCGGGCAGGTTGGACATAGGATGAGGGGGGGCACTGAGCGCTTGGGGACCCCATGGACCTGGTTGAGCTGACGTGGGGTCCAGATGGCACCATGGGCATGGGAGGATCCAAGGGACCTGGTAGGGCTGGTGTAGGATCCAGATGTCCCCATGGCCATGGGAGGCTCCATAGGACCAGGTAGGGCAGGTGTAGGGTCCAGATGTCCCCATGGGCATGGGAGGCTCCATAGGATCTGGTAGGGCTGGTGTAGGGTCCAGATGTCCCCATACGCGTGGTAGGATCCATAGGCTTTGGTAGGGCTGGTGTAGGGTCCAGATGTCCCCATGGACATTGCAGGATCCATGGGACCTGATAGGGTCCAAATATCCTCATGGGCATTGGAGGATCCATAGGACCTTGTAGGGCTGGTGTAGGGTCCAGATGTCCCCATGAACATGGGACAATCCATAGGACCTGGTAGGGCTGGTGTAGG